GCACAAGAAACTCAGTTGCTGAAATTCCTTTAATTGCTGACAAAACAACAGCAGAATTATCCTTGCCCACACTAGGACAGGAAATGACTCCCCCAACTTTACACTATTTGTCTCACTTGAAAATACAGAATGTGGATGCTAACGACAATCAAAAGGCTCCTCTCGGGCCCTGTTTTGAACTCAGAAAGTGAGCATTTGCAAGGAAGTGGAGTGTAAAACTGGCTGCCACCTCCGTCTTGTGGTTACCTGTCAATTCTGTGCAGCGTCGAAGCACCTCTTCCCCTTACAAGAGAAACTATTTCAATCTGCCTGCCCTGTTTGATTTGCTGTGGCCTTTGACTGTGAAGGCTGCATCAAAAAGATGCTGGAAACATAAAAGCTCCATCGCCCCTCTCTGTCTCTCTCTCTTTTTATTTTACTCCCATCTCTCTTTCTCCACCCCTGTCTCTGTCTCTTTTGCTCAGACAGACGTTGGGAGCTGTAAATACTTTCTCATTGGCTGAGCAGGAAAAAAAACAAGACACACTGATTTAATTTCAGCATTACTCATATGCTGAAGTCAACATGAGAGGGTATTAGGGGTGTAACAATACAACTAGCTCACAATTCAGTTTGATACACTCACAGTAAGAGAATGAAAACTAGTGTCATAGTTGTTTATTTCTTCTTGGGTATGTAAAGTCACAAAAAAGTGTGTTTAGACATTTCAGTTATTCTGTGACTGGAGTACTCAGAGTACGGCTAATGGCTAGTGCAGCTAACCCTGGTGAATGTCAGGGTCAGTCATGGTCTGTCAAGAATCGTCTTTCTGTCCACATTCCTTAGGGTTTCAAGATGCTGCTCTTTAAAAAATCATTCTGACATTATGATTGGGATCAGATCTGGGGTCACCACCAGGACCCCCATTTAACAGGCAGATTCAGCTGAGAGGTTTTCCCACATCGACTGTTGCGACTCCAGTAGATACTGTTATCATGTGAAACAGATCTTGCCTTAGAGAAAAGCTTGACAAAGACAGAGCCAGCAGAGGGAAAGAAAAGCCTATCAGCACCTCATGGTTGCTGGTTATAACTATGCACTGTAACCTAGTGCAAATGTTACACTGATAAACCTTACTCGGTGCTCTGATGTGACATGGGCCACATTTTCATTTCATCTATATGTCAGTCTGAACTAATCAGACAAACTGCTTTACAAAAGCAGTAAAGTGCCTTGTGTTGTACAGTATGCAGGATTCAAATTGGTATTTTGCCATGTAATATCATCTTACATGGCAATCGAGTCATCAGCAGCTCAACAGGAGGGAGCGTGGCTGGATGCTGCTGGGCCGGAGGCTCCTGCCGGGGCTCCCGATGCAGCAGCCTGAATAGAAACCCTCAGCTAAATGCCATTTTCATCACATCCTATAGACATGTTGTGATAACACATGCTTCCTCTGGGTGCGTCTCAATCTCAGGGAGTTAAAACTGTTTTATCAATCTGCTTTCTTGCTCTATTTTCACCACCACCCCGGTTTATTTATTACAAGCACTGGAGGTATGAAGCAGCTTGATGCAGACGGACCGCGGGGTGCATCGTCGATCGCCTGCGGCTCAGCGGTGTCTGAGCCATTGAGGGCTGAGAGCGCAGACACAGCTTCAGCACCACCCCCACCTGACGCCCCACACATACACGCACACACACTCCCTATGGCACTTGGTGCTTTTGCCCAAACACAATGGTTTCCCACCAGGCAAGGTGGTAAGCCTGCGGAGTCCACTCTCACCTATAATGTGGCTCATAAAACTTGACGTCAAAGAAGCTCCACAAGGAGCAGACTAAAGCAACGGTGAAGGAAGTTGCATCTGTGAAGACACAAGGAGACTGTTCACCAAAATACCACTCCTGAAAAAGTACTAAACCTGGTTAAGTACAGTGTATGTTGCCCTGCTGATAGGATTATTGCAAACCTTTTAAAAACCACTCTTCTCTCTAAACCTGTTTGTTCCCTCAAGAACATGGGCATCCAGCCTCCATGCCACTCTCTCTTTCTCCTCTTCCCTGTCCTCTCTTTCACTCAGCTTCTCTGTGCTACATCGTCAGCTGACCTGGGACCTCTCTCCCCTCTGGCTGCCTGGATCTGGTTCCTCATCCTTCATGAATCCCAGTCTCTTTGTCCCACTCTCCCTCCTGTTGTTCATTTCCTGTTTATTTGTTCATTCCCATTTGTGCTTCTCTCTGTCTCTAATGTGTCTCTTTCCTTCTCTCATATATGGGAATGATGTGCTTGGGTTTTGCTTCTCGTATGTTTGTGTAGCCAGTCCTTCTTCCAGGTCTTTGTCTGGAGGGGAGTTTGTGCAGCTTGGGTCTGTTGGAGGGACCTGCAAGTTGCTCGTCCTCTGGGATCATGCTTTTCATATACACTTACAATACAGAATTGTCATTCAGAATGACCAGACTATACTGTGTTGATCTCTTCTGTGAGACAAAAGCAGCACCAGTGCCGGTTCCATGTAAGAATACCTATTACATGTCTGGCTGCTCTGGAAGAAGAATCCTTCCTCTGTCACTCTTCCTTTTTTCACTTTTATCACCAGTAAATATTTTGTTGGGGACTTTTTCCTTATCTGATTCAAGGGTCTAAGAGCAGAGGGTGTCGATGATATACAGACTGTAAAGCCCCTTAGGGCATTTTTGTGAATTGTGTTATTTGGATATGTAGATACAATTAGACTTGACTATGCAGTGATTGATTCATCAGTTAATCTTATCTCTAGATAAGTTTAATAATCCCATGAAGCAGTTATAAAACTACCTACAGGCACTGTATTATAACCACATCCATCACTGCTACTGTGTACCCTTAAACACAGTATCAGTCCCCTCATAAATAAACATAGCCACACCTTTTAGGGATTCAAAAAATGCAAGAAAGTTTCGCACAGTTGCTTTAAATATGTGACAGAACACCACAGAGACTAGTATCACATTTAAATATGACTGAACACTGGTTACAGCACCCACATAATGTCTAGAATACATAAAAATTATGATCTCCTCTAAGAACAAATTAACTGTAAAAGATTCCGAGAATAAACTAGGTAATTAGGTTATAGGCAGCTCAAAGCACATGCAGCATTGCTGTCATCGGAGTCTGATTCTAAATTCATTTCAAGCTAAAAAAAAACTAATAAGTTCCACAGTCATCATATCACTATAGCCATGCATGCAGCCACTCTGAATGGCTCGGCCCCAAAGTGAAGGTGACGTTCAGGGTTTCTGCCTTATCAACGTGTACCAGCACAGGCACATCATGAGACACACACATACACACTTGAGAGAGAGGGTGAGAAGTATTTCTTCACCATACAGTTCATCTCTGTGCATCCCCTCCATAGCTCCCACATCATCTCTCTCTCTCGCTCTCTCTCATCCTCACAAGTTCACTGTCAAGTGAGATAAGAAAAAAGAGAGAAGGAGATGAGAGGAGATTCAGAGAAGACTCTCTTCTCTCCCGCTCTCTCTCGTGCACACACACACAACCTAAAGAGATTTCTTTCTACGTGCTTGGCAGCAGAACTGGTGGCTTGGCACCTACAGTCTCAAAATCAGCCCGTCTGTCTCACCTACGCATTGCAAGTCAAAAATTCATAAGGTGACACAAAACTGTCAGAGCTTGTTGATGCGACTCCAAAATGATGATGCTGTGTGTGTGTGTGTGTGTGTGTGTGTGTGTGTGTGTGTGTTTAGGTGTGGGTGAGTGAGGGTGTTCACACACATACACACACATGTTTGTACAACTGTCAGTGTGAGGACCCTCATTGACATAATGCATTCCCTAGCCCCTTACCGTGACCATAGCCATCACAACTAACTTCCTACCCCTAACCCTTGCGCTAACACAAACCTAAACCTAACCTTAAGTATCAACAACCCTTTGAAGGTATGTCAGAAAGTGAAGAAAGGCCAAAATGTCCTCACTCCCAAGGTATAAAACTCAAACTGCTCCTCACACTGTACTGCCACACAACTTGTGCATGCGCTCCCACACATCCCTGCTAGAAAAAAACCCTAGAACCTGTCAGACTCACTGGTCAAACACTATACACACTTACATACACATTAGAACGTTTACATTTTGCATCTAAACGCAGCTGCATATGTGTGCAAACTTGGATACACATGCACACACAAAATCTGGTCTCAGCGCACCAGATTTGGCACGCATATCTGCGCACTCGCACGAACATATGAACGCAAAGTGTTTCCAAGTCGACTACGTCCCTTGGGAGCAAATACAGTGATGCTCACATTCATACTGAGTTGAGTCCTTATCCATCATCGCAGTGAATCAACAGCTACACAGTCAAAACTCCGATACAATTTGTATAGAGGCTTGTGTGTTCTGTGTCGTGTCTACGGTGCTCAACATAGAGTTTATACAGACACTATGTCATACTAGGTAGGTCTCGCATTATGAACAATATAGGAGTGATGCTGCGAGACTCACAGCATCACTATAATATTGCAAAAGCATTCCTACATTGCTCCTGCGAAATGAAATCTTCCAAATGAAGAGCTCACACTAACAGTCTATTCACATTTCCACTTTGCATAAGAAATCCGCAGTTCCTTGCCAGTGAATTAAAAGCAATCCTTCACCTTCACCAACTTGACCAGTTCCACTAGAAAAAGGGACCATCAATCATTTCGGAGATAGTACACCCGCAACCTCGTCGTGCGTCTAACAGCTTCTCCCTCGGTGCGCAACAGAAGCCATGCGGTGTTTCGAAGCGCAAATAAGAACCAAAACCTGTAATCTCCTGGCACAGCGGTCCATGTCTCCTGTTAGGTACGATGACGGAACGAGACAGCGGCGAAAGGTATGAAGAAGGACAACGAGAGGAAAAAGGAAGGGTCGGAGGAGGACAGGAATGTCACCAACATTTCGAATGTAGGAAAAAGCTCCAGGACGAGCGGAGGGATTATTAACAACCACAAAAAAGTTTGTCTGTACTTACTGATCAAAACGCCCTTCGCGTTCGTCCTGTATAGCATGTTATTAGGATGTAAGATTTGCAGTAGAAGACATTTCCATTCCCGGCGGACTTGTGAGACAAAAGCAGCACCAGTGCCGGTTCCAAAGCTCAGCTATGCAGTTCCGTGCGCACAGGAGAGCAGCGCTCAGCATGAATGAGAGGAGAGCTGCGGTTGGACTCCGGCATCCCCTGGCAGAGGGAGAGGGAGAGAAAGAGACAGCGACAGAGAGAGAGAGAGAGTTTGCGTTAATGACAGGAGTGCGCCCTCTGGTGGCGAATTTGCGTTACAGCGGATTGTCAGACGCAACGCTCACTGGCGCGCATAGGTGGCAGCATTGGTTCCGGTACAAACTGTGGCACCATCTGTTCTCATGCTTGCAGTATGGTTTAGGCATAGGCTCATAAATGACACGATAAAGGTTGCTTCACTGGAATCTGATTCTTTGATATATACTTGATAAAAGGCTGCTCATAGTCAGCTTGATTGATTTCTCCTGTCATCTTATAATGCATACAGAGCGGCACGGCTTTGTTTTCATGTCTCCCTGCTACTCACTGTGTGTGTGAATGAGCTTGTGTTCTTTTATGTTTTTTTTATATGTAAAATGTGCATGTTTTTCTGAGTGTGTGCATATCTGTGCATCAGTGTGCTGTGTCCCTTTGTATATATATATATGTGTGTGTGTGTGTGTGTCTATTCAATAACATTCACTGCTGAAGGTCAGCTCCCTCAGAACTTGACAAACCATTTCTATCAGCAGAGTTGGCCTTGTCTGTTACTTCAAAGACCACAGGCTAATTCAGGGCAAGTTTTATTTTTTCCACTGTTACAGTATAAAAAACATCATTTTTATTTTGAATGTAAATGTTAACAGACAATTATTTTACACTGTTGCTTTCATCTTGTAGAAGATGTAGTAGACAGTGCTAATCAGATGGGGACAAATGATGCATTTCACTATTGTGAATAGGTTTTTACATAGTAAACATTTTGACTAACTATAGTAGGAGAATGTGTTGTTAAAAACAATGATAATGATGATAGCCCAGTTCTATTCGGTTGGTCTAGTAAGCCATGGCAGTGAGACAGTAAGGCAGCATGAACAATCCCAGGACTGTGAAACTGAAGCAGTTTAAAGGAATTGGACAATTTTCACCTGGGTTTTTCCTACTGTGACATTCAAAATGTTTTTTTTTCTTTTTTTTTTAAATTGGCCTCCACATAAACGGACGATGAGTGCTTACACCTTGACACAATGGACCGCATCCATTTGTGAAGGATATGTTTACTGCTGCCTGGGTGTTTTTCAAATGACTGTGGTTGTAAGATTATTTTGGTTTTAGAGATACATTAATCCATATTTCTTTTGAATATCATTGAATCAAATGAACACAAGCCACTTAATTCAGCCCCTCCACAGAGCATTTTAGCATCTTTTAGCTCTTTGTTTTGGATTTAAGGCTAAACACACTTATGGTTCTCATCAGCCTTGTGTCCAGAAGCAAATGGCAGCTGCATAATCCACTGTACTGTACACTACCAGCAAGCAACAGGCAGGTAAAGATCCAGATTATTCCTCAAGAGGTGGTGGACATTCCATATAACTGCTAATATTGCTTTGTGTCTACTGGGTGTACATGTACAAGTACTGTAGGCATCTGTTCAGGCTTTAGTCATAAGAGCTAATCACCTGCTCTGGAGTTCCTCTGCTTCCTAGGGGACAAAATAATTGTAGTTTTGCACGCTTTACTCAAAGGCTTTATATTACTAGGGACCATTTTCCAAACCATAGAATACATTTTAGGGTGATTTACAACGGCCCGTCTTGGCACAGTAACACTGTAGCCTGCAGAGACTGTCTGGTGAACTCACCCCGATGGTGCATTCAAGGAAGCTCAGGTATTTGGGATTTGACAGTCAGCTGCTACACAGCAAGATCTTAGAATGCAAGTAACATCTCATGGTGCCTACTTCTCTCACCTAAAGGCATTACCAAGGAGATTTTAGGCAGATCTTTCCCTGCAACAGTAATAATAATGATAATAATGTGACCAACTCAAAAAAAGTGTTCAACTTAAAGGATTACAGTCATGTGCAATTTCAGTGCCAAGGTGTACGGACCTCTACTAAAATCAGTGAATTATTAAAGATGAACAACATTAAACATATAGTATAAGCAAAGCAAAAAACACTTAACCTTAAAACCCAAAGAGAGATTTGGGGGGAGGAGAGAAAGGTGGATTTGCACCATAAGGGATGATGCATTGGTGTGTGTTCAAGCCCCATACTTATCATTTGTGCAGTATTTCCTAGGCCCCTGCCATGACCTCTGAGGTCTCCTTGTGCATATTAAATGTTGATATTCCTGCCTATGTTACTGATGACTAGGGAGTTACCATACAAGGAAAGGAGGTGTCAGGTTCCTCCTCTCCACACTAAGGATGTGGTTACACAGATGATACTCCGCTGCTCAGATTACTGTGTGTGTGCTGGCAAATGTGTATGTAATGTATGCGTTTGTGTGAACATCCTTTCCGCTAACATCCGTGGTCTTATACGGCTTGATGAGGCACTGGGGGTCATATAATTCATTTCTCATCCTAAAAACATCTGTCTCATCCACATGTGTCATGTCCTGTTTGCACAGCTGGAATCATTGAACATTTAATATAATGCTTATTTAAATTCATAAAGATTTGTGCTTTTGGATGTTGAAAGGCAGGGGCCGGATTCAGTTGAATACACATACTTTAATTTCCTGTGACTTATTATAAAGAATAGGAAAGGGGAGAAACACATGAGATACAGTAAACCAATACTTTTGTTTGCCTTATCGTGATCACTGACTGGAGGGTATACTACCATATACTGAATAAAAGTGATAGTGAATTAACATTGCTGAAAATGCCAGCTATCACCAGCTTTTTTATAAACTGAAAAAAAAAAAACAGAGAGCAGAACAGAATGAACAGTAACTATACATAGATATAAGGGATATATAGATTTGAGGGTCTGGTGTTTTGCCTCTGTACTCCTGACATACATATCTATCTATTTACCTGAATAGGAAAACAGCATGTGCCATACTTGGAGAAAATCTTTATAACTTTAAGGGTCTCGAGCTGTTTTTCCCCTGAAAGCTACTTCAGGAAAATGAAAGTTGCTGAGAAGCTACTCACATTTTATATGACTAGTTACATTTATTTACATATTGCATTAAAACACTCACACTGCTCTCCAAACCAAACTGGCTGAATGAGCTGTTTTGTGTAACCAGTTATCAAATACCAATATTGTTTGCACCAAAATCATCTTAAAAACAACAGCCATCAGTAAAGTTCACAACATGTAGGCTACCTCTCTTCACATATCAACAACTTATTTCATAGTTCGCATGTATGTGATCTGTGCATTCAGACATAGGTTATTGATTTTAGTTTGGGCTGATTATTGATACCCCTGAAACATCGGAGGCAATCAATGTAGGCTACTTTAACCCCTTTGTGCCCAAATGCCACATTTTGTCAAATCTGAACATCTGACATAATATACATTTTAGATTCAGTGTGACTTACACTTTCAAAGGGGATACCCTTATCTCAGACGTCCACTGTTAGAAACTGTAGAAAAAGAAGCTCCTATCAAACTAATGTATTGATAGTTGGCAGTAACACGACATCCAACGCTACATAGCAAACAGCAACTGCCTGTATGAATTTGTTGTATTTAATTTGCTGAAATGTGAACAAATATATGCTAAGAAATGGTGATAACGTAGCAGGTCACAGTGTATCTAACTGAATCCATGGCAACAAACCTGGCAAATGTTTAGTTTCTATCAGTTCACATAAGCAAAGACTTTTAAAGTTTAACACAACATTATCCAGATGTTGGTTTGTAGCCTTAAAAAAAAAGAAGAAAGGAAAACGACCATGAGTGAAATTGTATTGCTTCATTTTTGTGTGGTTTGTACAGGCTTATCTTATGCTATTCTGTGTACTTTTAGGTGAGCTACTCAGAAATGTGGAGCAACAAAGTGGAGACCCCTACAAGTCCTTGCACAAGAACACAAATTTATTAAGAACTTATTTTGAAAAACGAATAAGAATTTATACAAATAAAGTTACAAAACATCTAATTAAATACAACAGTGCAGCTTTTACTTCAGGTTTAAAGCTGGGTTAGTATTTGTCACTAGTTTGGCACTGTTTGTGTGTTTATCTGATGATGACCTTTGACCTTGAATCCAGCATTTACTCTCCATTAATTTATGGCTTGTGTTCCACCAATCTCTGATGAAATATCAGGCTGCTAAATGCTCCACTATGTTCAACAGCTAGTTGCTAACTCTGTCAGATGTTTGGTGCTGGGCAGGGGTGGTGGTAGGTTTTCAGCTTCTTTCTGCTGCTGGAAACAAGACAGATGAGAACAGTGAGATTCAACCAAACCAAAATAGTTGTGGGTTGTAAAACATAACATGGAGCTGAAAATCATTAAAACCTCAGAACTGAGGGGACTGTGTGACAGATGCTATGACAATATCTTCCACATAGAGTAATAGTCTACAGTTATTTCATCCATCGTTAATATGAAACAGTGTAGAGTGGTGCAGTTTAAAAGTTTGTTTTTCCCAGTGATTTATATTTTAACACATGAACACCACATGTTGTTCATGCTAAATAAAAATGTATTTAAACATCTGAAATGTTTTAATTGTCACACTCTCTGGATTTCCTTGGATTTTCTTTAGAATGTTTTTTTTTGGCAGTTTTAGTCATGGTCACTATCACTGCTAGAGGTTGGAACATGCTTCATGTCATTTCCAGTTACATGTATGGAGTTCAGTATTAGTCCTCAGTGACTAGTGACAGAGTCCAAATCAAATCCGAGTCATCAGAAAATAATCGAATCGAAGCTTAGTTCAAGCTGAGTTTGATTCAGGTTCCCGTTACCCAAGTCAGTCATCAAGGTCTATATTAAACACAGTTGTCACATTTCTCACCATTTTATGTTTCAAACTTTCTAACAGTGTACCATGTCACCATATTACTTAGCAATTTAAGGCATAAAAGTAGAATGTACACTTAGATGGAAGTTCACTGGATACAGAATGATGCCAGTGAACAGTTCTAATATCAGTATCTAGGCCAAATCATTCTGGCCTATTATAAAAAA